CGCACAGCTTTTCCATCAGCCACATACATTAAATTGGTATAACATGTAATCTAAATTCTTATACGTAATCTAAACTCGTTTGGCTAATAGTTGTCCACTATATGGTGCCGCTTTAGGTGGACGCGTTATTTCAACAGAACACAGAGAAATTAAAGTCATTTCTGTGAATGATTTATCTAACGAATCCAGCAAAAAAATTCCCATACCTTTGTATAATCAGACGTTTTCAGTGAGCTCAGATTAATGAAGGTGCTTCAAACCACAGGTTTTGTTTCAGTGATAGCTTGTGCAATGTGAGATACTAGGCTATCAGCCAGTCTATGTGTCAGACTCTTTACACGAAGTCACAGAACGTACTATATGCAGCTTTCAACAGCTTCAGCTGCCTCACGTTTCACTTCTGCGCAAGTCTTTGCTCAACATCTTTCAGTAATTACCGGACCAAACAGGTGGGAGCCTGAAGTGAGCAAGGTTACCATCCTCTTCCAAAAGAGGTGTGGATATCAAAGATGTACACAAATCATCTGCAATATTAATGAACAGAATTCTGACTCCTGCCAATAGTTGCATTGAAGTTTATGTCTATTTGTACGTTTGCTTGTGTGTATGAGTCTGTATATGTATGTGTGTGCTCATGCAGGGTTACACATTTATTTCATAAGGTTAAATAATTACCAATATGATTTTTTGTGCCTTATTATTGTCTATCAAATACAAAGTGATGGCACTTTATAAAATTGTTGTGAAGAGTTTTGAGACGTTTTTGATATTATAGGCACTAACCAAATGAAATGTTCGTCTTTTTTTAATTATTAAATGCCAGCAAAATTATGTGTTGCTAATTCTTCCCTTCCAATTTCTCCTCTCACATGTTGACCCTCTCCTGAAAGAGAGAGAGGCATGCTTGGTACAGTCTCTCTTGCTGTTGTAGGTTGCCCAACCGCTTGTGTTTAATGAATGAGCTTGAAGCGGGCTATGTAACTGTGGGAGATATCGCAATAGCCTGATTCTATCATCTTCCATCAACATCCACAAGCGTACAGAGCACTAAATGAAGTGACTGCAGGAGCCTTCTCGACTTTCTTCCACCAACAAACAGATGCTGAGGCCACTTATCGTGTCCTTATTTCCACCTCAGTTGTTATCAATTATCTCACAGTACAGCAGAGACTTTGTGGATGAATGCAGCACACAGATATGTCCCACAAACAGACAGGAAGTGAATTTAAGTCTCATCCGAAGGACAATATATCTGGCAATAGAGCACTCCCCCAGGATGGAACTGAAGTGTTAATCTAGACTATGAGCTCAAAGTCTCAATGAGGCATGCACCTACAACCTTCTGACTCAGAGGTGAGAGTGCTACCAACTGAACCAGGTTAACACGTAGAGTTAAAGATTTATACAAAGATTAAGAAGTGTTAAATACCAAACGACATTCATTTTGTGTTCTTTGCTGAATGAATTCAATGATCAATACATTTTCATAACACCATCCCTCAGAGCAATGCAGCCGGGGGGAAAAGGAAGACTCTGTGAAGCTTCTCTGAGGCTATGAAGGTGAAGCCGTTTCCACTTCCCCATCTTAACATTCGCTTAGTTTGGAGAGGTCCCAGCTGGCTATGGGTGGCAGGGGAGGCAGAGTTGAATGCCATTATTCAACATTATAAAATGAGTCCTTCAACAGGGTCTATTTTAGGGAGGAACTAGCTTTAGAAGCTGAACTTGTAGCCAGGTAAACTTAACTGAACTTAAGAGCTCCTATAACCACAATGTGTGCTCTACACGTGTAGCATGGACAAAACCAGATGGTTGGGAGTCCAGCTGATGGATTATCTGTGATGTATTTATATACTCAAGGGCTATAGGAGAAAAAATCTGTTCCCTACCATGTAAATCTGCTAGATCAAACTGTTTTAAACATTTTTACATTATGAGTTACGAGTTTACAAATACAATTTGCTGATGTTGTCACCCGTAGAGACAGCTTCTCCAGTAATTCACTGGTGCTGAATGTCCATAGAACTTTTTCATTTTTCATTTGGCTGCCGTGTTTTGCCCATAAAATAAAGTCGATCCACTTTACAGTAGATTCTGTGAAGCGCTTTGAGATGTCTCAATGACGTGAAAATGGCGCTATATCGAATACAAAGACTATTATTATTAATTTCTTTACTTTTTATTCAAAGCTTTAAAATTATCATTAAAAAATGCTTCATTCTAAGAACAGTAACAGCACAGTCAAAGCATTCAGGTCTGGATTAAACAGATAGTCAAACCATCAATCTTCGCCAGTATAACAGCCAAAACTCCATAAACTGGACCTCTAATAATAAAAATTTACTGTGTAAGTTCAGACCTTTCTGCTTACACAGCGAGATAAGGTGGCCTTAGCTTCCCTAAGCTTGTGGAACTTCTTATGTACCTTCACCAGCGTTCCTGTGCCTTACATTCATAAAATATCAGTTCGCTTAAAAATAACATTTCTTCAGTCAGTGATTAAGGTTGCAGACATTCAGTGTCTGAAACTAAATGCGAGTTGGGATAACTTAGCTTATCTATTTGCAGTGGGATTATTATCCTATAGCTATACGTTTACACAGCAGTCAGTTTTCCAGTTTATAAATACACAAGTCCTAAAGGTTACATCTAATGAACAGTTTCTTAGCTTTATGTTCTTTTTGTTTAAAAGCTGTAAACCCAACCTTCAAATTTGATTAAATTGAAGGAAAACATACAGTCACACAAGAGAGAATTCTCAATGCTCTCCTGAATTTGAACGCTAATACTTTAATGAGTTAAAGAGATCATTACCCAGCATTCTGCAGCCTGACAAACAAGCCACACATTAGTGAATCAACAACACGCACAAAAACACCGTCAGCTACTAATTTTTGCAGCATTGGCTCTCAGGGACCCTTTGATCTTTACAGCAATGAATTACAATTGTATAGCGCCTTTCATGTCAGGAGGATGTCCCAAGGCACTTTATTGAATCCTTCTGGGTCATAAGGAGTTTTCATAAAACACTGTTTACCTAGCAGTAAGTAGGAACCCAGTTGTTCGTGGATTGCCGGCTCGCTTTCGGGGGGTAATAACTCCTCCAATAAATAAACAAATAAATAAATAAGTCACTCCTGCTTGTGGGAAATGCTGCCACATTTCTTCCACAAAATGTACAGTCAATTCACTTCAGTATATTTTGTGAAGCGCTTTGAGACGTCTTAAAAACGTGATAAGGTGCTATATCAAATGCAAGGATTATTGTTATTATTATTATAAGTAGTTTTCATAGAGAGATTTCAAAACACTTTCAATGACACTTAATTTGGGTTGGTTCTAGATACACATGCGGGCTTCCGCCACTGTCTCCCACTTCCATGTCAACAGGAAAATAGACTCATTGTCCATTATACAAAGTAAGACATCACAATTTAGTTTCTCACAATTATTGGCAGTTCTTCAAAAATTGCTGACATCTTTTCCTGAACATGACCAAACCCAATTTGCTTTTTGCTGACTGTTTCAGTCTCCATCTAGCACGTTCTTTTGAGGGAAATATCCAAAGAACATGTAACTGGCAAATCAGTTGTCGGTCGATTGGCGGATTACTTTCCGGGGTAATAAATTCCTCCGAAACAAATAAATACATTTTTTAAAATGATCGCTCAATCCACGACTGTTTGCAGGACACTGCTGGGCACAATTGGCTGTCACATTTCACCCACAAAATACAAACCACTTACAATATATTCTGCGAAGCGCTTTGAGACGTCTCAACCACGTGATAAGGCACTATAGCACATGCAAGGATTATTATTATAAATCTCTAACATTCTGATCAGTGACAGATAATAATAATAATAATCCTTGCATTTGATCCGTTATTAGCATATATAATCTACAAATGCTTCAGATCCACTGTCCCAGTGTCAATGTACACTTAACTGTACAATGGGCTAATCTCACAGCTGGGTTCCTGAGAGCTTAGCTCATTAATTGGAACCATAAACTACAGGAAAATAATTTAATGCAAGCCAGACAACGAGATTTGATACAGATTCAATATGGTCAACGATACTAAACATGAACACTATGTTTCAACTCAGAATTTCTTTAAATCTGCCTTGGGCATACTGTACTCGATTGAATCATTCATGAATGGAGCAATCCATGGGTTAAAACAGTACAATTTCCTGTTTGTTTTACTCATTGTGAGTTCATTGGTTTTGCCTGTATGTATTTGGGCTATGGTAACTACAGAGATAAATTTAATTCAGATCTATGACATTTCGAATGGTCACAGAATTGTGTGAAACAAATGTAAAGAATTGCTATGACCAATAAATCCTGTAACCTTGTTCCTTCAGGGTTCTTTTAGAAAACAAAAGCATGTTACATGGAGTCGACACAGTCCTTAGTTAGTTTGCAACCCATAAAAGAAGTAGTATAAAAGAACAGCGTGTCCTTTTGAAAGCTTTATGCTGGGTATTATATGTGCAATGCCAGTGCTACCTGTGTAAACCACAGGAACCCCAATTCCCTGGATACCTTACAAAAGGGGTGTTCAGAGACAGCATCTCATCAGAATATGGAATGAATTACTAGTGGTAGCTGTTGGAGCAGAATTGTTTGGGCCATTTAAAAGGAAATAGATAAGTAAATGCAATGTATTAGAGGGTGCAGGGGGGAGAAAAAAAAGCAAGATCGGGGTAGATGACTTTACGGGAGGAGCAAACAGACACTAATTTAATGAGTCATAGTTTTCTACTGCGTTGTAGATGTCTTTGATTCTATGGGAAGACCGGAGTGCAGGGATTGGAAAAATAGGAAACAGGGCATTGGAATACCTGAGTAAAGTGCAGACTAGGCCTGGGGCACAGTGCATTGAAAGAACCTGGTATAGTGTGTCAGAGAACTATTGCTCCATTTCATTTTGCTCACTTTTTAACAACAAGGATCCAACAGGACATGATCAGTGAAAATAAAGCCAAGCTTACCGTGCGGCTGCTGGACGTCAATAATCTGAACGGAGTGGCTCTCAAACCAAATGTCATCTCTGAGAAAAGAATTGAAAAGAACTTTGGAATCAGTTATTCTATTATCAGATCTTACGTTAATTAAATAAAAGAGAAATCCTCAATTGCGTGGGTTCAACGTCTGCAATTTTGTAAGAACAGAACTCGGCTCCATACAATCATAGTAATTGACAGCACAGAAGGAGGCCTTTCGACCCATTGAGTCTACACTGGCTCTCAGGGTAAAACATCAGGCAAGCTTCCTTACTCCATACTCCTCTGTTTACCTAGAAGTAAGTAGGAAACCCGGTTGTTAGTCGATTGGTGGATCGCTTTTTCGGGGCTAATAATCCATTCAAAAAAATTAAAAAATGTAATTTTCTGAAATGAGATTTTGACAATATAGGTGCCACCTTTTTGTACATCTGAAACTACACACACACTCCCTCTGCCTCTTCTTCCCCCAATCCCAGCAGCTGGGCTGGAGTGTCTCAAGTGCTGAAACATTGAGAAATGTGAATCCTCATTATGAGTGGGTAAGGTAAAATGCGAAATATACAGTATGCGAGATGCTATCCAGTCTCCACAGCCAGTTCCAGGGTCTGTCAACAGTGACAGAGTGAGTGTAAACGGCTGTTCAGCTGCAAGTACGAAACTCGATTTTGTCCTGTGAGCGGGCGGGTTACTGATTATCAGTGCGAGCAGGATGTGTTGGAAGACCAGGGGCTGCATGGATAAAAAAGCAGGATGTTTTATAAAAATAAAAAAAGACATGTCATGTACTTCATGTACAATGCAATCAGCACGGAAGGAAACGGATGACTAAAATTATAACTTTTTTTNGGCTTGGTGATGTGATAACTGCAGACATTTAGACTTGCCTGTGTTTTTAAGTGTTTTAAACACAGGCATCGCAACGTGTACATACAATACATACCTCCTTTCTGTGAGGACGGGGCACCAGTGATCCTCGTAGTCACAGCTTGGGGCTTCCATGCCTCTTTAATCTCAATTGTGAAACAGGTCTTCATGTTCTCTTCGTCCTTGCTCAGCTTCTTCTCCTCGTTTAGCTTGGAAACGTTTTGGCCGCGTGGAGTTCCAGGCAGGTCACAGTGCTTGGTAGAACCAAGTTGATCTAACTGCACAGAGCTGTTGGAGTGGGTTTTACTGTAGTCCTTCACTGACGCAGGCTGATGGGTCTGTGACTCACTCATGTTGCTCCTCCCTGGAGTCCCACTGTGTACTTTACCAACACTGGTCGCTCCCGCAGAGGACTTCATAGTGTCCTTGCTGTCTTTTAACATGGACAACAGGTTTGGCTTGTTCCGTTCAGCCAAAGAAACATCAGGGGCAACTGAATAGCTGGACAGAGACTGCCCCCCAACAAAGGAAAGTGTAGAAGATGCTGGGCTAGGCTGCTCTAGCCGCCTCTCTGAGGCTGTGGAATGTGATCTGGTAATACCGTACCCAGTTGGTGCAGTGTCCTTTCTTTCTCCCCTGACAGAGCTGGTTATCCTGTTTGCTAGTGATGTAGATCTGTCCCGATCTAATCCATTATTCCTATAGGAGTCTGTGAACCTGTTGCTCCTATTGGAGACTAAGTATACATCCTGTTTATCTGTAGATTTGCCTATTTCCCACGCATCCTTCAGATCAGCAGATCTCCCTTTCAGAGACGATTGCCAGCTCAACGGCCTGGATTCTTTCGGTTTTAAGGCCGGATTGCGTAAGGAAAGTTGGTGCTTTTGCAGAACTCTGCTCCTGTCCTCATTCAACAGGTTTATTTTCTTGGCGAAGAAATCTGTCCCTAAATCAACAGGCTGCTCAGATGAGTCCGTAGTGAACTTCTTCATTCGATCTCTGACAGAGTTGGCTCTCCTGAACGGCGAGGTATGTATGAATATCTCATCGGTCGTTTCTATAAGTCAAGCAAACAGGGAAAAGACCACAGTTATACAGAAGCAAAAAAAAAAACCATCAATGACATGTCCTTGTGCTGTTCATCTTAATATCAGAGAAGCTGTTCAAATATAGTTGGATTTCTCCAGTGCATTTTATTTTTTGCAAAAACAAAGTGGGTAACAATAACACAGCAGTGATGTGGCACCTACGTGAGGTTAAGGAACAAAGCACCAAAGTCACTGGGCGGGAGGAATGGAATTAGTTAGTAGCTCTTTCAAAGAGCCACAACAGTCATGATAGGCCGAATGGCCTCCTTCTGTGCTTGTAAGATTCTATGATCAATTGCATATTCATTGATTTTAGCATTTATAATGGGCAATAGCAGGTACTGCAATGAATTAAGCGCTGTCACAGAACAACACAGTACTGAGCAACATATTCAACATTACACTTCACAATCTCAGAGTTAATAAAAAAAGTCATTTTTTTTTTAAGTTAAAACTATGTCAGCAAGGTTTAAAATGTTACATTAACTCAGTTAAAAAAATGAATGGCGAAGCACTGATTGTGATGGTCTTGTCAAACATTGGCTATTTATAAGCTTGGAGCTAGTTAAGTGCAGTCAATGTTTATTCAAGCTCTGAAATCCGAACCTGATATTTCTCCTTTTTTCCCACTCCCATAGAAATGGAATTTATTTAATTGCAGTCATTTAACATGGGGGGTGGGGGGGTAAATGAGAGATGGAAGAAACAGTAAATATGCAAATACCATAGAAATTTAGGTCTGATTTCATGTGCTTGATCACTTGCTCACGACATAAGGACACAAATCTCATTGCCAGGAAATTAAAGCAGAGTGTGATTCACTCTTAGTTATTCTCCAGCTTCTCAAAGAGCAGTAAAGGAGTTAGATACTTACCCAGTCACTCAGCTAGTGAGTGCAGAGGAAGGAAGCTATTAATAGAGTGAACATGTTTTACATTAGTCTTACATTAAAATGCATAATATTTGTAAGGCAAATAATGGGGTTTGTTTCATCCAGAGAATACAGATAGAAATCCTGCTGATAAACTAAACTCTGGGGTATCCACACACACAGAACAAAGGGACCAGGCATTGTAACTAGAAGTTTCCTCTTCTGAACAACTATTAATCACTGAAATCGCTGAGACTTGATGGGAGTCTTTTTTTAAAATGTAGGTTTGAAGTGATGCCAATGAAAGTCAAAGATCCTTCTATAAACATTTGATGTTTACAGGTTGTAACGTGGCTTTTTTGGACTATACCTAATAGAAGAATTCCTTCCTTATTGGGATAAAAAATGTGAGATTGCACAGCGATCACCAAAGCCACACATTTCCTTTTTCTGCTGTGCAGTTTTTCAACTCTGAGGGAAAGAAAGCACGTGTGTGGCAAATCTGTGTAAATACTCCAAAAGAGGAATGACTCTTGTGTATAAAGCATATCTGATTGGAGGTTTCCAGTTCTCCAAAAATAATAGCTGCACAGATTGTAAACACACCAAACATGGAAACTTTACTTGTTTCAATGTCACGACAAGGCACTAAATCAAGTGCAAGATTTATTATTGTTATTATTAATAAAAGCTGAACAATAAGAAGAAAGCGCATGGTAACCGTACAAATAGCGTTTTGCTAATTCAGGTGGCAATTTAAACTGTCGCTTTTCTTAGTAGCATGCAAGTCAGAATGATTAAATGTAAGTAAATAATGGGCACTTCAACAGAAAGTACATCACTATCACGGGTTAGATAGAACAAAAAATATTATGAAGTCCTGTAGCTCAGTGGTTAAAGTACTCGCCTCGCAAGCGAGAGACGTGGGTTCGATTCCCAGCAGGATGAAACCTTGGGCAAGTTTCCTTACTCCACATGCCTGATAATAATTCCTCAAGAAAAAAACAATGATAATTTGATCACTCAATTCACAACTGTTTGTGGGACGCTGCTGTGCGCAATTGGCTGCCGTGTTTCGCCCACAAAATATACAGTCAATTCACTTTACAGTATATTGTTTGATGCGCTTTGAGATGTCTAGAAAATGTGAAAAGCACTATATCAAATGCAAGGATTATGATTATTATTATGATTAGGACCCATGTATGGAAGCTTCTTTGCTTTGAAAATGACTTGCTTTGTCCCGTGTGAAAATGAATGCTTTGATGCTGATGTAAACTAGAGTGTGCAGGGAGAACAAGTGGCCTCAATTTCCCCATGTTCCCGCTTTGCTCACTGTCCAGTGACCCCATGCTCGAAAGTGGATGTTGGTTGAGGATGGATTATGTTTAAGTTTATGCTTCTTGACTGATAGACTGAGGCACACTATTTAGGTTTACAAATAGAACAGTCATTTGGGCAATATGCTGAAGAGCTATTGACACATGTGGAGTCATAACCCAAAGAGTGACCACTTAAAGGACAAGAGGAGAAAAAACCCTTTTGGCTACTAGCGATTGACCAGAATTGGAGGCGCATTGCTGCCCAAAATTAGACCAGCAAAGACTCTACATACATACCAGAACAGCTCTTGCACCTATTGTGGCACAAGTACTGGAAACAAATCACAAGTATTCAGTCATTGTTAAGCATTGCACCCCACAATAAGTTATAGTGGTGGATTCAATACTTACATCAAATCAGCCAAGTCAAATTCCTTCACACTGGATCGTAAATAATGCAAATCTTTAGAAAACTCAGTAATTTCTGATCAGCCTGTCATTGCTACTTAGCAATTTATGGAAAACATCTCACTTCTGAATAAAACCTGTATTGTGGCTTTAGAGACTGAGAACTCAAACTCTGTCCATGGAAGCCAGCGGTGTGTAAACTGTACATGTCCATGTACCTCATGTCCACAGGAATGCAGAATTAACTAGTAATTGATTATGGATCATTGCTGAAAAGAATTTGTGCGTGTGAGTGGGGGAGAGAAAGAAGAGGAGGTTGATTTAGGCTAGGACAATGAATTCTACGAACTGAGGGAGATGAGTTGGTGCAGATTTCCACACTCATCAAATAATATTTGTGTTGAATAAAGGAATTCAGCCATTCTGCCCCCACTCTCTGGATCAGTTCACAGTCCTTTCACCTTGCACCCACCCTTGCCTCCTTCCAGGTCTGTCTATAAGACCCAACTACAATCAGCTAACTGAGCACACGCTAAGAATGGAAACTGGGACCTTCTCGGCTGTATGGCTCAGCTTCACTCTAGGCAGGGGCTCATACAAATAACCAACAACAAAAAAAACAATCTCACCTGAGGTCTCCTTCCTGAGCTGGGTTCCTGTGCTCCCTGGGGTACCATCCTCAAAGGTCCTCTGTTAAACAAAGGAAAAACAAATGCATAATTTTCCAGCAAATTTCACAAAGAGCATCAAAAAAAAATCTTGTCAGGATTTTTTTTGGAGTCTGGTCTAAACCCATTGATGTTCCCGTTGGCACAAGATGAAACAGCAGGAACTCCACACAAAGGTTAGATACAGCAGGATTTCCTCCCCAAATTACCACTTTGATTTTGTGGTTATCTCCTGTATGTGTGGCTTGGTTACAGGAGGTATCACAGTACTGACTCCAAATGATCTCATGCTTTACTTTTAATTATACATTAGTTTCCATATTTCTCACACAATCTAGGGGGGAGGGGCGGTGGAAGACGAAGAGTTTCTTCCCTCCTCCCTGGTTGGCCAATATATTAGCCGTTTATATTCATTGATTGAATCCTGCAGTAAATGAATCAGAGTAACAAACATCCATAAGGTGTTCAGTTCTCTGAGCAGTCAAGGGTTATATGTGATTCGGTAAAGCTGGTGCACTCAATTCCTTTGAAATGAGCAGGAAACAAAATCAGTATATACAGAGGAGGTGTGGGAAGCTTATGGACACAATGTCCTTCAATGTCAAACTCAACTCAGTAAGAACTCAAAACCAACAATGGGAAAGGAACTCACAGGAGTTTTTCCACCCTACTCTCTGTGACCTATTAAAGCTTCACTAACCTGTCTACTCCCTCCGCTCTGCAAGCTGTGGCTTGCTCCACTTCCCTCCTCCACCCCTCCCTGATCCCAGCCCACAGTTCAGGTAACAATTTTTCTATTCCGGGCTTGGTCCTCTGGGCTACGTATGAATTCTGGAAAGCCGGGGGTTTACTATACTGTAAAGTGCAGTGACGGTTTTGTGAAAGAAATTACTATAATCTCTCTTCTTTTCCTCCTCCACCCACGCCGCCATGTTTGGGTTTTCTACATTGCACGTTCTCATATTCATCCTCTGTAAAAACTACCTTTTTGTCAAGTTCTTTGAAGCGTTTGGTGCCCTGCTCCTCGTCTTCGATTATTCCTTTTGTGGCTAATTGAAGGTTGTCAGAATGCAGCCACTTCCGAACCGATGCCAGCCTTCCATTCAGTAAGATATCAGACGCTGGCTTATTAGTTGCACTCTGTACGGTCGGTGGAGTCTGCCCTGTGAACCTGTTCCCATTGAGACGAAACATACTGCCTCGGTCTCTAGTAATCAAGTCAGACTTTTTATCATCATCATCTTCCTCTACACCAGGCAAGCTCTCCTGCAGCGCCTCTTCCTTGTTCTGCGATCTGTTTCTCCTGTGGCTTTCTACACTGCTCTGCCCTCCGCTGGAATCTCTACCGCTCTCCAAACCCCAGTCAGAGTCGGTGCTGGAGGAGCAGCAATCCAAACCAGCTGATTCATCTCCCTGTCGAGATCCTGGGACAGCCTTCACTTGACTCTCATTAATTTTCTTCAGTGGGTCGAGAACCACAACCATATTAGAGGCCATTCCTGCTTTACAAAAGAGGAAAAAAGCACATTACTTTGGAAATCCACATTGCTGTACAGAATGACTAATAATTTTAGTTTCCTTCAGTTGCTAGACGCCTTGCAACCAAGCTGAATCGCATCTTCACCCAGCATCCAACACAAACACACATGGGAAAACAATGGTGCCCCAACCTTCTAAATAACTGATCAACCAGTCTTTAGGCATTAGGCGTGAATACAATGTGTAATGCTGTGCTTCAGGGTTATTCTCTGCTGCTTTTAAAATTATGAGCTTGCTGTCTGGTTCTCCAGAGCTAGAATATAAAAGAAGAATGAAACTATTGCAAGGTCTGATGCTTGGGAATGACACTTTCTTTCGTGCAAACCTTTTGCTAAAAAGTTATTTTGTACCATGCTCTATTCTTTGAATAAGGCCAACGGTCAGAGTCTAAGCCCCCATCTATTACTACCAGTGCTAATGCCTGTCGACTACTGTAATTCCTCCTCCTCTCACAGCGGTGAGTTGACTATTTTATGTTAGCTGCCTCCTTGATCAGTATGGCAGGTTGGAACCACAGCACGAGGATCACATTGTGGCAATAAACTGTCCAAACCTCCTGTGCTACAGTTTCAACACCCTTCGCCACAGTGCTGTCCTGCACTTTGTCACTATAAAGCCAACATCTGTATCCACATAATTTCTCAAGATTGACTTTTCCCATCAGTCCTGTGACTTGCTGCTTTGCTCGCCAGGTGGCACTCTTGTATTCAGTCATTTTCATGTTTAATTTTTTGTCTCCACTGTTCTCCTGAAGATGGAGCACTTCTACAGCTGGTGTTCCATAACACCTCATCGATGTGACGAGTAATGTGGCAGTCTTGGAAGAGAATATTAGCAAACAATTCAACCAGAGAGAGGAGGGAGAAGGAGCTCACAGCTGCCATGTCCACAGACACCAATTGTTGGTTAGTGATCGGAAACTGACCGATTTCCCCTCCTTTTAGTCCAGGTGCAATGAGGTTATAGCACCTTCGACACCATTCAGCACAGAGCTGGATGGTACCTTGGCCTCTGTCTCTTGCTTCAATCTTATATATTCCACGCATGAAAAGGTTTATCGACCCTTTGATTGCAGATGTTACATCATGATGTCTCACTAGCAGCAATTCAGGCCTGTTCCCTTCACACTTTAATCTTCTATACCACATTCCAACAGATGAAATAATTTCCAAATGCAACCAGCCCTCAGAAAGATAGTAAAACACGGTTTTAAATCCACAAACAAGGCACCAATTTCCCAGCTCCTGTACCTCAGGAGCTGGACTCCAGCACAATTCGTGGAGCCAGCCTCTCCACTGATGCAAAGTCTGGTGGCAAATCACTACCAAATGCACAGTGATGGACCACCAAGCATGACGTGCAGAGCAGCTTAACTACTATCCGAGGTTTAGATTCAGATTGATGTTTGATAGGGAGAGGAACAAAGGTACACAAAAAAGGTCAGCAAAACATTGCTAACCTAACGTGAAATGTTGGCATTTCACTGGTCACCATATGTTCACTGGGGATTAAATTGGGGCCTGCAGCAAATGTTGTCTGCAACTCATTCCTCTCAGTAATCAGAGCAATAACCTGGTCGCGCCATACAGTTTTAAAGAGGAACACATTGCCAGAACAAGTGGTACCAGTTAGCAAATACTCTGCCACAAAATATAGTCACGATCCTTCACAATACATTCTATGAGCATTTTGAGACGTCTCAAAGACGTGATTAATATCAAATGCAAGGATTATTATTATTATAGAGATGGGAGACAAGAAAAACTATGGGGCCTTCTGACACCGTCACATAAATACACTTTCACTCCATCCAGGGATTGAACCTGGGACTCTCCTGGTGAAAGAAGAAAATCTAACATGTAAGGTTAGAGACTCAGACACAGAGAGAGAGAAACACACACCACACACATCTGCTGGCAGGTATAATGTAGTGTAGTTGCAATACAATTCCTGATGGAACCATTTTTTAAATTAGCACTGTAAGCATTTTGTGAGATGTCCAATTATCCATACTCTTAACTTAACAATGGGGCTGGTTCCAATTAATGCAGATAATTGGATAACAAATCAATATTTTAGTAAAAATACTTGAATTTGTTTTTTGTTCATTTTTTGCATTGGACGGTGTCAGTTTTAAAATCTTGGGGATTTATACTGCAAGACACAGATGAAAAAAAGCAGCAGTGTTTAAATAGTTAAGCAGAGGAACAAGGCACAATCTGAAAAGATCGGAGGTTATGCTCTACATGAAATGAACAATATGTACTACAGCTGTTTAAAGAGACAGTTCAGCTGTAATTTGAAAGGAACCTGATGTGTCAGTGCAGCAGGAAATTAATATAGCCTTGGCCTGTGAGACAGCCTTGCTTTGTATCAACACACATGTACCCAACAATGGAGCTTTTTCACTCGTTGTCAAACAGACATCAGCTTTAATTATTTAAACATCTTTTGGCAGCGTTTCCTGGAGCTGAGTTTACACCACAAACAATAAGGGACAAGGCAGCTATTAATCCAATAAAAGGACCTTATTCACTGGAGTTCTTACTCCAAGGCAGAACTAATTATTTTTTTTAAAAAAGGGAGGTATGCAGTCCTTACAACTTTTACTTTCCACAAAAGAATCCACAAAGTAGATTAAGTACATACCATCAGATTTGATTCGACTGATGCCCCTCTGATTCCGAAGGTCTCGGATTTGAGCTCGGATCTTTTGCCTCTGTTCCAAATCTTCAGTCTCTCCAATCTACAAAGAACAGTTATAGTCAGTTAAATGCAGTTCCACTGCCATCATAGGGTAAGCAAATCAGAATGTCAGTTGGGACACAGCAAATACCTTTCTCACAAGTACAAATTACTTCTTCAGTTCATTTGAATAAAGTTTGACAATTGCTTTCTGATATACGCACAGTAACCTTACCCCATTCCTGATCATTTGGTATTCTCGTCTTTATTTTCTTGCAAATGTTCTCCTCCCTTCTGAGGATTTTTTTGCTGTGATACAGCTCTACAGATCCCAAATGCCCACCAGTATTTCACCCAGGTCACCATACATATGGAAGCTGGGACAGTTTGTCAGCAAACTGTTCAAACTGTGGGAGGTGTCAAATACGAGCCTGATCCAGTCCTTAAATCAACAATCAATCATGTACTGTCCAGCAGGAGCCATTGTACAGCAATCAGGAGCAAATCTTCTCCCCCACCGAGCCCTAACTACTGACCAGCTAAGATTAGCAAACACAACAATCCAACCTGCAATCTTCTGGTTTGTATGGAATAGTGCTACATCACACAGTGCATTTACCGACTGGGAACCTTGTTGTAATTTTCAAGATTTTCTCAACAATACATGAGCCATCTCAACTGGGAGGCATAAAGGTTTTCAGCTGGAATTTTAAATTTCAAAAGAATTTAATGTTTGTCTTTCACAAAAAGTTGAAAAAGTAAAGAAAAGTATGTCTTACCAGAGGAGCCGTTACTGAAATCAATCCCAAACAATAACAACCTCAGGACCTTGCCGAGGTTTATTTAAAGCTCCACTCACACCGCCCGCTCCCCAGACTCTGCAACAACTGGCTGTTAAAACCATCACTAACTTTGCACGGACTACACTCATCAGATCATTCTTTCAGCATGTCAAGGGAACAACAATTGAGGAGAGACAGCATCACAAATCTCATCCCACCCAGAACAAGCATTATCTCGGTGCCTATCCAACCCAGAAAGGAGAGTTAACAGTATTCAATAACACTCCCTCTCGATTCTCCCCCCACACTCCCACCCCTCCCCTTCCCTCCCTCCCTCCCCAACCCAGGATTAATTGCTACTCACAACTGATACTGAACACAGATTAACCAACATCCTCCTTCCTGCATGCTGGGACACAATCCAAAAATTTAACATTTGCTTCATCTTTCGAAAGGAGTGAAAGGTTGCCCTAAATGTACTCCCTTTCAGTATAGATTCCCCCCCCATCCCAATCCCCGTTAAGGATCAACATTCTTCCCCCTGCCCCTCCCCAGCTGAAGGAGCTGCAGTTTGATATGCAGATTTCAGTAGCAGCTAGCCTTTTTTTTTGTGGGGGAGGGAGAGGGAGCAAAGAATGTACTTTGGCCTCTCCCAGATCAACTCCTTTGGAGAGATGAACTGTTCAGCTTTTGCATTGTGTCCCAGCTGACACATGCAGGATGTAGGTTTATCTGTGTCCAGAAACGGTTGGGAGAAGCTATTAATCCTGGGCTGCGGGATAGAGGGGGAGAGAGGAAGAGGACAATAAAAAGAAAATTGAGGGAATAGTTGTGCCACTGACCTTTTACAGAAGTGCAGCAGTGAATAACTTAAAGCAAAAGGTACAAAAAATGAGGCTGTAAGTCCAAAATGATTGGAAGATGCTAGAATGCAAAGAATTCTCTTTCAAGTGTTGATCCATCTATTTGGATTTTCCAACAACTGGTTATATTTTATTTTTTTGAGCAGTTTAGCACAGATTAGGGCAAGACCCAGTGGCAGATTCAGGAACCTCACTTTCAGTAGCATTTGCAGTACTGAGAACTTTGCATGTTTTCGTATTCTAATCTACGTACTGAATTAACAAGTGGTAAGAATCATCTCCAGACACAATGTTAAAAGCTAAGCTACTTTCAGAAGCACTTCTAATTTATCCTTGGGGAGTCATAGTACTAGCTCATGTGGCAGCGATTTTGTCATCCCACAAAGAACCATGAGGTGAATGACCAATTAATCTGGCGGATTGTTGGACAGAACACTGAGGGAGCAATTCCTTTCTCTTTTCGAAGCATCAAGCAACCTTTTATCATCCGCCTGAAGATCAGATAAGGAGAGGGTGAGGGAGATGAGATTGATTCAAAGAAATAAATATAAGCGCAAACAAATGGCAATGCAAGACAATTTCATTCTTCAAGGCCCATCACTAGAAGTTATCCACTTTACTATCTCTGGTTAAAAAAATACGTTTGCAGAGGCTAATCTGATATCAACAGAATATGGACTGAACACAGAAGATGCCAAACAAATGAAGAAAATTACATTTGAATTTTCATTGTGTGGCAGGTTTGTTGCTATGTGCTCCACTCAAACATCTCGTCCTGCCTTACACTGACAATGAGCTCTTTCCTGACCCCCAGGTCTCTGTGTGCAAGAACTCATTAGGATTGAAAGAGATGGGAACATCTGTTAGTCTCTCTCTCTCTCACACACACACCACGCACTCACTGAAAGGCTGTAGGTAGTCTTTCTCCTGTTCCCCATCTCTTAATCACTAAATAGAAGATTTTTCTTTAAGAAGCCTGAACAATAAGCAGGCCGTCACTGGTATTAGTACAAAGATACATAGTTAAATGGAGAATCAGCAGCACGATTTCATTGAACTTGCAGTTCAAAATGGTCCACACAGGATGGTAGTATATTTTGCCACACTTGTCCCTGATGCATCAGAAATGCATCAGGGACAAGCATGTTTTCCTGTATTAGCCAAACAACACATAACCACCACATTCAGGCAGTAGATGCTGAAATCTGTTTTGAATGCCTTGGGTCTTAGCAGAATTCCCTGTCAAGCTTTGCGCTTCCAAAATGCACAACTGCACTGAAACTTTAGGTAGATGGAGTCTTTATTTTTGCAGCAATTTATCCCAATGCCAAATCTGCAAAGACCTGAACAGTACAGAGCTTTTTACTCCCACTCTTGCAGCAGCAGCTGTGTCCAGGATCGGGAAAGAATCCTCACTTGCTGAACTCCCATCAGGAGTGTCATAGTTGAATAGGTAGCCTCCACAGCATTGTTTATGGCCTCGCACGAGTACACACATAGTGGTTACATCCAACATTGACTTTTAAAATAGAAGTATTTTATGTTAAAGTGTATTCTCCCCCTCTTCTCTCTCTTCCCCCCTTCCCCAGGGCAACACTCCCCTTTAAATACAAACCACCCATTAACTTACTGCAGCCATGTACTTTGAAGGAAATAAAGTCCATTCTACATGCAATAGAAATCACTCAAACCCTGGCCAGGCTTCTCAGTGGCAGCGTACAGTGTATCAACATGCTGCCTCCAATCCGGAAGGACAGCAATGATAGACAATTCAGTCTTTCTGAATGTACTTTGTTCACAGAAGGGTTTGAAGTGAGATTTCAGGAGTCAAATATTTGTGGATTAAGCTGCTCTACAAAACCCGTGCTCGAGGGATTAGAGACAGTCACCAGTAACTGGGTGCTTCAGCTGCCAGAATTTTGTTCAGAAATGAATTGCTTTAATTAGTTTGATCACCATCAAACAGAAATTTGCCTGACCCAAGTGAAGGAAACCTTTTTAATCAGAGTTCACTTTGCTTGGCTGCAGTTCCATCTCTGGATAGTCTTCACTGAAACTCGGCTTCAGTGAACATGTGTTTTAACTAACTATGCCTAATAGGGTTGTAGCTTTGGTCCAGGTGGAGTCCTGAAAAAATACATAACCAACCCAAGCAGAAAGTTCCAAAGTCACGTCCCCACTTAGATTTTTCTCAAAATCTAATCCAACCAGGATCCTTTCTGATCAATTTGTTGACAAAGCTGTGACTTTATATTGGAATTCTGTTCTATTGCACAAAAGCCCTCCAACTATTTAGTCTCACAATTCCAGTATTCACCTCCCCACCCCCCCAACACTTACAGTGTCTGACAAGACCTTCCTCAACCCTGGAATTTCTTCTGGCAATCAATCGCAGAGTCCTTTGGGGGGAAGCAATACAATGTGTTGACTTCTGATGAAAGGCCCACGACAAAGCCAATTCTTGGTGTATGAATGTCCCAACAGGACTTTAAACTGTTATCCTGGAACTCAACTAAACTTTATATACAGTTCCAGATACTTTTTCCGCACATCAAGGTAAAACAACAACAATTAAGAGCTCATTGTGTGTAGACAAGGCAGGAACCACAGCTGCTGTTACCCAGGGCTGTGCAGCCTGGCTAGTTTGTGGTTCTTCCTAAAGCTAAAGGGAATGTAATTATACTAATGTATTTATTTAAGGTAAACCATTGAATCTCAAGGCCAAACAAAAGCCATTTGCACAAGATAAACTAATGTTAAATGAGTCATGCACCACTATATTTAAGTGCATTCACCGAGCAGCAAACTCCTTTTGCATTACCTCCGACAAATTCAATCACTTATTCTGTGTTTATACCATGGTTCTCAGGTGTTGAGTTCTAAAGGCCAGAATAAAGCAGTTTTTGTTTTCAGACCACAATTTTCGACCAGTTTTTGTCCACAAAATCTACAGTCACTCGACTTTACAGTTTATTCTTAAAGCACTTTGAGACATCTCAACGACATAAGACGCTATATCAAACGCAAAAATTATTATTTTATTTCAGACTCCAGAGCCAGTCTGTATCAAATGAACAGGAGAAAGGCTGTTCAAACGTTAGTTTAAACGTGCTGAGCCTGTGCTGTTTTTAAACTGTGCCAATCAATCAAATGAAGGTTAATACTGGATGTATTAATCCACAACAAAAAAATAAACAATTTGCTAATTGTCTGGCCTGTGGGGTGCTGTACAATAATCCAATCCCATCACCTGGAGTGTAAAATAGAAGCCAGCAACTGCTCTTCTTTTATTCTATTCTGTTGGAATAACCATATGTTCTCTGAACAGTGTGACCCTGCTATTAGCTTCCCTCAATGTACTGTCAAGCCTCTTATATTGCTTGCTTCGAGCTTGCTTGGGTACTATGCTACAAACC